CTCTGTATAAAAAGAAAGCCTAATTTGAAAATGTGACAGAACTTCCCCGCCAACCTAATATATGGCAGACTAGGAAGAGTTCTATGATTATAACTCCCAAGGAATGACTCCCCACCCACTTCTCCGCCCATACGATTATTGCGATTATCGCGGAATGTGTTGTTAAGAAACATAAAAAGCAAGAAGTTGTAACCACCGCGATAATCCACTGCATAGGGTTGCCTATGCAGGGTGAGCTTGTCACGGTCCTCTGCTCAATTTGATACAAAGTCAGTCTCTTTCAGGATGGTGAGGCTTCTGAATCACGTCAAACGGCTGTTGAAGTGCTAGAAGCGATCGAAGAACTACACAACCGTCTCCCAGTCAGGACTTTCATTGCTGTGCTCCGGACCTCAGGCAACGGTATCTGGTCCGACGCATCACATTCACACGCTGTGAGTAATTCAGTCAGCCTCTTCGACAATTATCTGAATTTATGACTGTTCGAGGCAGAGGTGGGCCGGTGACAACTGGTGTGCTTACCACCCGCGCGGGCCTGACTTCAAATCCCGGGTCGACTCCCGCCCAGGCCAACCAAGCCTTCTACCCTCCGGGGACGGTAAATTGGTACCAGATTCGTCTGGGAGGATAAAACACTGACTTGTACATCGGCTGGCCCCGCAAGTCATTGTATAGGCCACATCGCATTCAATAAGCCACTACGATTCTGAATGGAAGTAGATGCGTGCCGCATCCCACAAAGGGATTGATCAACGGCGAAGACTTTATCCTTTATTTTATTATGACTGCTTTTTTCTCTGTAATGCTTCTAGATGATACCCATCTCCGCCGGCTCTTATATTTCAGCCTCACGTTCCCTCTTGCTCGGGATATGGCCCGCAAACGGGACGAAACTTCACCTTTGTCCTGGCCATCTTCTCTACCTGACGGTCGGCGGACAATTTACCCGATCCTTCGAAAGCGGGTTGGATTTCTGTTTCTCTCTACCTCTTTTACACGTGGTACTCTTTAGCCACTGTTGTCTTGTACACTGCAGCTTTTCACGCACGATAGGTGGCTGATCCGCCCGGGGGAACACTCCCCCTAGAAATTCTCCAAGACGCTGTAGAAACTAAAGACGCCTAGCAGCACAAGCAATTTCGCGCCCTGCAGCCAGGCGCTATGTGGTGCCTTTTTGCAAGGAACTTTGGGAAGAAGGGCTACCATTATTGCGCTCTATCGAGCTGCGATCCCCCAACCGGATCCCCCTGCACGGCCCACCCGCCCGCAATATCCGACCGATGCTGATGCCCTGATGTCCTCCATTTGCAAAGTACGATATGAAACGAAGGGATTGGTCCGAAGCGGCTGCGGTGCTGAACAACGGTGTGGAACAAAAACTTTTTTGCAGATTTTGACAGTTTCACTTCGCTTTTTCGCCATTTTGTCACTACATAGCACCCCTGCCACCATTTCAGACCGAGCACCAAATTACCGTGCCTTATGCCTTTAAGAAAGCCCATTCTCTGGCCCGCGATATGGCAAATCCAATTTTTGCCGAATACTGCCAACTTCATTTACCAGTTATTTGTACAATCACCTGAATTTTCTAGGCGTGTCGAGAAATGTTGTCCATGTGGAAAACTCACAGCCAATACAATTCGATGTCCGTCTGGGATCAGGTCAGTTCTACTTCTAGTACCTGCTTACCTACATTTCATACTGTTCGATCTTCGAAGTGATTCAGATGGAAACTATCGTGCATAAGAACTTTAGAAAACCACATTTCACTGTAGAGGTGCTGCCGTTGCTACGCGAGTCTGCTCTGGTTAATCTACCAAACCAGTCAGTTCTGATCTTATCTTTATTAATGTGGCCAGTAAGAGGATTGTAAGGCCGTAAGAGGCCCATAGTAGCAATTCTAGTCTACATTGTCCTTACAAGTTTCGGCGCAGTTTGGCTTCAGGGGGGAGGGGGATTGCGCACCTTCGCTTCGCGTTGTCGTGTTCATTGTTTCACAAGTGTCGACAGGTATCCTTTACAAGAGTTGACAAGTAGTTCCCATGAATCTTGACAGCAACTGCCACGTAATTCGGTGGTGCGCTCCTCCCCCCCCCCCCTCCACTTCTACTCAAAAACGTTAGTGCCGGGAGTTCGAGTCTTCATAATTTTGGTAACATTTGTGAAGAATAATAGCAAAAAATGCTCACAAAACCCGTTGCGTACCATTCGTACACACTGACTGACTCCTAGATTTCATCGATTTGTTCAGAATGGATCTCAGTGTTCTTGGCTACGATTGTGCTCATTTCTCCGAACGGGGTCTATCACTTCTACATATTGCGATTTGGAACTCGCTTCTTACAAAAAGTAATTACCGGTGAGAGAGTACCGTTCTTTTGTTCTTACTCTTATCTTGTTTGCATTTTTGTAGTACTGATCTCTCTTGCAGGTCAACGCAATATCGCCCTGAAGCGCCTCCTTTGTTATGTCCAGATTTTCGATGCCCATTTTTCCGCACTGCCACTAATAGCGGATTTTGCATATGGAAACAGCCATTGGTATGTTTGACTTCTACATTTTCTATCGCCCTTACTCAAAGGCGCAGTCAGCGCTTATTGAACCCTCTTCAAGCAGATAACTTGGATCCGCAACAGCCAGGGGAGAGTCCTTGTCGTGTCTCGAATGGGCGCTACCCTAGTTATGTAATTGAGGGGAGGGGGAGGTGGCAGATCCCTTCCCCGATCAAGGCTTAGCTTCAGTGGAGACTTCTCCCTCCTCCTGACCATGGCTTAGCCTCACTGGAGATTATCTCTTCTCTGCGAGACTGTCCTTCGACAGCACAGGTCGTCTGCGCCTTAGCAGAAGCATTTTTAAGGGGGACATAGCGAGTGGTCTCTTCACTTTAACCCCCCCCCCGCCGCGAACTATGTCAGTGGGCAGCAAACTTACCACTCGAGCCCTTGGGGGAGGAAAAGTACTTCCTCTTTTCAGGATTCACACGTGCCAATCCCAACTAATGCAGACCTATTCAAACGAACTCAACACTGTAGCCTTGTTCGCTATGGTTGCTGAGGCCTATCAGGGAGGGGGGCTAGGTACGGCGCAGTGCCAGTCCGTTCTCTACTATTTATGCAAATGAAAGGATTGGCGCTTTGCCAAACCCAGTCCTCTCTCACGCCTTAGCATCTGCAACGAACTAGACTGTACTCCCCACGTAGCGACTAAGTATGACCGCCTGTCCTCTAGTTGGAATCCTCACCTCATGGCCCTTCCTGATTGTGATTGTTCTCAATTTTTAACGAAAATTTTAGTTCTTTTGTAACCGCCCAGATTTTCTCCCCTTGTTCATGAATTATTTTTAGGTAGCTGAAGAATCGCCCATCTATCCAAAGCTGATCATCGTCTGCGCGTTGGTGTTCTGTTTGCTACTGACTGCTGCAGTATTGTTCTTCATGTGCCGTAAACCTCATCGAACCGACGACATCAAGAAATCTGCGAAACCCTTCGGCGCCAGTCTTAGTTCTATCAAATTTATCGATGAAGACGCTGTTTAATCCTTCACTCAAGCAGCTGTAGAGATCTTCGGACTATGGGGGTCTCTAGAGGGAACAACGTCCAAAATAGCTCAGAAGATGATTCTCTTCCTGATTCCGCATTTTTCAGGGTATTTTCATATTTCCATTAGATAGAAAACCTATGGATGCCTTATGTTCGGAAGCGCAAGAGCGGGCTATAGTAAATGCGGCCTAACGCCGAAGTTTTCCGTTTGGACGAGTTGTCGCGATTCTCGACAACAATAAATCTAGTTAGCATCAATAGGTAACTTCGCTCATGGATTTATTCGGGATAACTCGTCCACATGGAGCTCATAGTACAACTGTCTGATTTCTTCATTTACTTACTTCGCTGTAAAGTTTTAATGAAGTGGACGTAGCTGCTCGGTAATGTCCATATCTATCACAGTATTGTCAAAGTCTATGTTGTCGATCAAGTCGTGTCCACATTATGCGACAATGAAGCGAGCGGTCGCAACCACGCCATCTGCTCTATGTGGGCGGCGACATCCCATAGTTAGTCATCTAGTCGTTCTCATCATTTTTCTACTTTTATAAAGGTCCGATATATATTACGGGCGACTATTAGAGGAAATTTATTCATTTTTTAAAGATCTGCTACTGCCACTTTTTCTCAACTGATTGCTTGCAACTGTGATTGTTGTGTTGAAGCCTGTTATTTCTTTATTATTTTGATGTGAATTTTCAGCGCCTTGTTTTACAATTCTATAATTTTTGTTTCATATTTTTCTTATTTCCTTGTTGTTATTTTGAACGGCAGGTTTTTCATAAAGACTTTCGTGTGACTTCCGCACCAATGGAAAGTTCCTTTAAGCGCTGTTCCGCTTGGAGGGGCATTTTGCGTGCGCCAGTTTTTTTTTGCTAGTTCTTGTTAATACTTGTAAAGTCGTGTCAAATGTGAACGAAGCTACTGCTGTTGCGTAGTCGGAATTCACAGGTATCTTTAGTAGGTATCGGCAGTGATCGATGGGAAGAAGCGAAATGCCCCACCGAACTCTGCCTTTCTTTCCCGCAGATACCAATACGACTTGCGCAAGTCGAGCACTGAACTGAGCCGCGTCCACAGTAAGTGGCAACCACGCGAGCGGTTGCGTAACGTTTATGTGCTTCGGACGCTGTAAAAACTGTCGTCATTAATAACTCTCATTTCATAATATTTTCTGGTCTCTTTTTGGACTACATTTTGAGCTCGGCGCTAGAACGTATTACTGAAGAATCCAGTTGATACTGGTAAGGGTTTTACATGGACCACCATGCGCCATGCAAAGGTACGTTCAAGGCACATCGCACATTGAGGATCGACAGCGAGGAGGGTCGTATTTGACAGCTGGAGGGAAAGGGGTCGGATTCGCCCTCGAGAAAATCGCTTCCAGTAGTTGACTTTTCTAGTTTTTCCTTTTCAAGTGCGCTATATCTCTCCCTCCTCACTCTCATCCAGAGCATATCGTTCTTGGGGATTACCCAACAGGGGAGTCGTATACGGGCTGATGGAAATTTTTTTGACAGTTGATTTTTCTTGTTCCAGGGACGTTGTAAGGGGGGGGGGTCGTGTCCCCCTCTGAGACAGTTTGCAGACTTTTCTTGGTTTTTCCCTTCAGGTGACCTAAAAACCTCCGCTCGACAGCCAATGAGGAGGGAACCATGGAGGTCGTAGGACTCGACCAAAATCTCCAACCAATGATTTGCCTCCCCCCTTCTGACCCCGCTCCACGGCAGTTTTTTCAGTTGAGGAGAGAGGAAGAAGAGCAAAGGGAGGCGGGAGAATCTAGGGAGATGGTAGGTGGAGGGGAGAGGGGTTGTATTAGGGAGAAAGGGGTTCTATTTCGCAAAAATTCCCCTCAACCTCGACGTAATTACTGCCTTATTGAATGCACAGCTGCAGTTAGCGCTTATATTTGAGTAGTTGTAGACAGCGACGGTAGCACTAGGGTGTTTCCAGAATACTAAGCTATTTCACTCTTTCTAACCCTCAACAGCTGTACGATTCCCCTCGTCACTCATTGCAGATTTTGCACAAAACGGTAGGCTGCTTCTCAAAGGCTGTACTTGGGCAAACAGCTCCTTTTTTCAGTGCCGTTAAACAGGCCAAGAATGACAGACAGCGCTGTAAACACCCTCGCATCAGCTTTAGTACTGGGCTTCAAACCTTCTCTTAAAAGGCAGGCACGATGTTTGATACGCGGCATAGAATGCTTGCTATCATGGCGTTTTATGGTAGGGAAAATGGCGCAAGAACGGATGTTGAAACGCCCGTCAAAATCTGACCGAAGAAAAAGGCTTACGTTCTTAATGACTTAAAAATAATTTCGGACTGGATGTTTCCGTAGGCATCGTGCCAATCACCGATCGTTAGGCACGGCTGCACGTATGTGCTCACATATCCATGCAGCACTGTAGCCGCTTCATAGCAATCCCTTCGCATAATTTGCTTAGCAAATAAACCAATTCGAGGCGTCAGATGGTCGTCCATTTGTGGGCGGGCGGGCGAGGTGGGCATTCGGGTCGGCATGTTGCAGTTTAATAGGGCCCTTCATATGGGCACCGTCCTTGGAAAAGGCAATATGCAACGCCTGCCCGGGTCGCGGAATTCCGTCCTGCTAAGGCGTATTAGTCCTACTCGTCTTGGGGATTTATCGTGCCAAACTGCCTTTAATGTTCAAGATCCTTCATTGTGGTCAGGGTCAGTTGCTGGATCGTGGCATAGGCGGAAACAGAGTGAAAGGGAGTGGTATCTATCCGAAAACGTCCTGGTCACTGATCTTTGAAGCCAGGTCGCATTTCACGGTCACTATGCGTACTACTTACGGAACCCTGTGCTTCGCGCTCGTTCACTGTTCTTATCTCGGTCAGCACGGGGGTTATCGCCAGTGTAATGTTGGCTTAAAAAACTAACTGGTTATCACTGTTTACAGTGACAAGTTTATTCAAAGAACACGAATAGGACCGGGGGAAAACGTCGCCTAGCACAAAGTGCTGCCATCACGAAATGGTACAGCATACCATATTTTTCAAGTGCCTCCCAAATTCCATACCCTTTTTTCCCTATTGAGCAATGTGGGAGTGCGGGTAGTCTATATCTGCGGCATGGAAGAGGAGAACAATTCCGTAAGAAAGAGACACGTGCAAAAACATTCAACACGGCTCGGGGAATCTTCCAATCAAGCAGGATGTTTGGCCAAATGGCTAGGTCGGGCAGCCATTTGGTTCTCTGTGAGAGGCGCATTTCAGAGAGACACACCTACCTCCCTTACATTGTGCGAGGTGAATGGGCCAGAGCAGCTGCAGCAAAGCGCTCACATTTGACCTCAAACTGCCCACAATCTGAGCGCTGCGTGGATAGCCGATACCAGCCGGGTGCCGACTTCTGTCCACTTCCACATCCTCAATTGTGCCATTTGTTGATACAAGGTCCCACAGCGGAAACTCAGGGGTAGAGAATAACCAAAATCAGAGACAGGAGCCGGCAGACAACTCGCAGGCGGTTTGCTATAGCTTTGTGTGAGGTTGCGTAAACAGTAGCGGTATGAAGACGGCACTCGGGTATGTCTACCGTTTGCCGCCGAGCACTGTTGACGGGAGAGAGTGGTATGCTACTGCAGCTGCGAACCCGTTAATTGCTGACAGGGCAAGGATCAGGACCGGTGTAAAAAGTGGGCTGGTTTTGTGGCTCGATGCGAAGTCCATATTACGGCTTCCTTGTACCACCGACTCACTTACTATTCTCCAGCCACCCGCCGGAGCACAACCATTTTCTTTCCTCCTTTCAGGCAGTTCCAGTACTTCTGAAGCATAATTTTCCTTTGTTTTGTCTTGAACCGCTTTGGTCACTTATTAAACAATTTATTAAACATAACCAAGCAAAAAAAATGAAAAAAAACATATATGTTATACAAGCATCACAAAAAGGAGGCGAACAATTTCCTATTCCTTCACTCGTTCGTAGATCCTGGTGCTCTTTACTCCGTTACACTCACATACCTACAAGAGAACCAATCAACTTTGTCTGCGCCACTGAAGAACAATTTTTAAGTCAAATGGCGAATTGAAATAAAAATTCTATGTACAAAGGCGCCTCAAACTTACAAATGCTAAAGCTTTATCGCCCTCTACGTATACGGTCAGATTTACGCGAGTCCCTTGCATTCGCCCTTTTCCGCTCTTCCGTTGAGAATGAGGTGATCGTTCTCGACGGTGTAGGTTTGGGTAACCTAAATCAACTCGGTTACTAGCCATTACAGCCTGCACTTCTTCCTGAAAAGGATTTCCTATGAGACAAAGGCGGCGCACGAGCAAGGACTGCTCACCATACGCAAATTCCGGGGTCAAATCACGGCGTGTCCCAGGAGAAACCAATCCTTCTATCCTTCATATGGTTGTTTGTCAGGATAAAGTAAACACTACCTGGCTAACCTTGTCAAGTTGTTGCCTAGCCCAAATTGATTTAGGAATCACCAAAAAGGATTTTCCTAAAGGAGTAGATATGCGTGGCGCATCATAAAACAAAGAAACGGCAAGCTCTTGAAGAACTCAATCTACTTCACTTGGACCAAACAAGCCGTTTAGAGGGGTAATTTGCTGATCAACGAAGCGCTCCTGTGAGAAGGAGTGCCTCTACACACATGTTCTCTATTCTTCCAGGACAAACAGTAGGGCTCCACCCTCCTTTTCCTGAAGAGAAAGCGGAGAAGATGTGTTTTTAGAGACCCTATATTTCATCCTCCTGGGGAAGTTTCTCGCGGAAAATACGACCCTTCCCTCTTCCCATTTCACCCTGGCAATAACAATCGCCCCGTCTTTCCCATCGTTCATCTGATATCTGTCATTCTTCCTAGGCTTTCTTCAAAATCCTACCACTTATCTTTTTCCCCAATTCTCCAACAACAATTTTTTTCTTACTTTTTTCACTGCGCCCTGCGGGTCGGTGAGAGGTTGGGAAGGGAGGTGGATCACTGTAAAACAACTACTAAAGTGAAATCAAGAAAATAGATAGTTTGTATAGGGCCTTTAACAAGGGCTGCCAAGCTAATGGGGAACTTCTTCAGGCCAAGATAAGCCTCCCCCCTGCCTGCTCTCCTTCCAGCGGAATAGAACCCCCCCCCAACGCTGAGGATTACCAGTGCGGCGTGCTGCCTCTGATATCTCTCTATCAAGGTTGTTAAGGACTTTATCACCCTTATGGCCCCACAGTGGGTAACAAGGGTGGGCAAAAGGGCTGAAAGCAGAAGAAACTAAACCTACATCTCGCCCGTCGGCGGTCTTCTCATCGAAAGTTTCGCCAATCTTGAACTTTGTGACGTATGTCTTAAATGTGGAGACGGACGTCATCTGAATGTGATCGCCCTCCTTGACGAACTCCAAAGTTGGCTTCAGATTCGCCTGCAACCTTCCGGGTCATCATACCGACACCAGCCTGAATCAGATTCAATTGATTGCCTGGGGGTGTACATGTTGGAACCTGCTCTGAACAGTACCTCTTTCAGATAAGCCTCGAAATTGTCTGACGATACGAACGTCCATTTTCCGAGAATCGCCTCTTCAATGCCCATTTTCTGAAAGCGATAAGCATAAATTCAGACCAAATACAATTTTTGAAAAGAGTAGGCAATACAGTCAATAGAGGATACAGTTGTGGAAAAAGATTGTCTTTTGAAAGCCACAGTGACCAAAGTAAACAGTTGCCCGCCCCAGAGACGCCAGTCAGAAGCTGATAACTGGTAAACACCACGGTACGTGAACGCTGACTGTTGACAAGAATTTTCATCGATAAAATTCCATCGATAAACCACAGATGGTGGATAGAATGGGCGCTGAATGAGATGTCAAGGGGAGAGTGAAAAAACAAGGGTGCCACAATTGGCCAACAATGGATGGCCCGTAGACGAAATGGTGAACAACCATAAAAAGACGTACGTGCCTCGGCAGCAATGCTGAGAGAAATGAGGTGCTCGGAGTGAAGGAAGAAGAGCTGCAAATGTTCGGAAAAGAAGGATCACACGAGGGTAAGAGAAGGGCGAAAGGGAAAGGATACCCTCCAGACTGCATTATTACCCAGCGCACACTGCTAATTCAAAGACAAAACATACACTCACCTCCGAGGACGGTTCTTTCCATAGGCGAGGTGACTGGGAGAGAAGGATAAAAGGGACAGGGTAACCCTCTCGACCGGATTACTACCGTAAATTGTTAGGTTCAAGGGCATCAGTAGGCGCACCTCCGAGGACGGTCCTTTCCATGGGCGAGGTGACTGAGTCCGCAGCTGCAGAGGCGTTCCACTTTCTTCACTCGAAAGTTCCCAGGAACGGGCTGTAGGGTGTCCGAAAGACGTGCATGATTCGCCGCGCTAGCCTCAATGTGCAGCACTAGACCCGGTACCGAGGTCCTGCAGCGAGACACGCACTCAGCGGTAAAGAACAACCAAAAGTGAGAGAGCGCAGACAAGCAGCGAAGATGGCTATGGTCAGGCGTGTTGCTGGCCGCACGACAGCGCGAACGGAGCATGGAGTTCCCATAGGAGTATCCACTACCCTTCGACCCCGTTCCCGTGCATTTTCGGACCGGAGAAGGTGGAGCGATACTGAAGCGATTTACCTCAGATAAGGCAAGGACCAAGATCAAAGGAGGTGAATGTGCAGTTTGTGTCTCGAAAGAGCAGGACGTGTAAGAAGACAGAGAAGGTTCATTAAAGGCCAGGACATTACCATTGCTCTCCCTATGCTCCTCATTCACACAAGGACTCGTGGGTCTAGGAATGAGCTCTCCAGGGGCATACTCAATCTACCCGGGTCGAAAGTTAATTGTTTTTCAGGACGATTCGCCCTGAGAAAAGACCGTGTCTCTGCAAAGCAATTAGCTAAAAGTTGAAAGCTCACAGATACTCAGCGCTCAAGTAAATCGAGCGCGCCCACCCAGATGGCCAGCGTTCCCCAGGCTCCCTATATGAGCAACCCTCCCGACAGTACAAGAGTGAATAACATACAAGAGGTTTTCGTTGTAAATTGATATTAAAGTATAATCCACATTAGCTAAACTATTCTGCAATATTTTCAAGCGCACTAGAGGGAGAAGGGGACTGGGTTCAAAGAACAATAGATGGATTTGCAGCTCAGGGAAAACACCTAGCCACGTGATTATTATCCCTTGACGACAGCCATTCGTAGTTGCTTATAGCATCAACGGGGAAGAAACTGTTCTTTCCGATGGTTTTATCAAAGATAGCAGGACTAGCAGGACCTTTAACAAGTTCCCCTTTTGTTGAAACTATATCCCGCTTGTGGAAGGTAACTTCCCCTCCTGATTCACTGGAGACCTTCCGGGAGCAAAGAACCCTGAATCTCCTAGATGAATTTCTCCTGAGGCGTGTTCAGTGCGAGTTTTGTGGAACCCTTTGAGCATTACAGGAGCAGGGTACGTTACAACGTCACGAAGGGGGAATCTTCGGGATTCTTCCAAGTACACACCCCATTACACCATTCCCCTCTCCCCCCCCCCCCCTCCGGAGACGGGGAATCCCCTTTGATGGTGTCTGCCGTGGTGTAGCAAGCTTAAAGGCGAGAAAGAAATAGTGTGCACCGATTTCAGGTGTTATTTCACCTGCAAAATCTTCTACTTCAATTTCTAGGGAGCAACACTCGGCGCAGTTCGCTTTGGTGGGGGCACAGGATGGTACTCAGCTAAGCTGGCCACCTAGTGAAGACCTGTGAATGCCTGAGATCAAAGTGGCTCACTCGAGTTTTGCAGTTCCACACAGGTTTACAGTTCTGTATTTCGTACAGGACACTTGTTGGCGTGATGGTATGAACCAAGAAGGAACAAGTGACTTGCAAAATGCCCCTGTAAGCCGAACAGCGCCCAATGGTACTCCATTTTAGGAGCTAGGGATAGACAGACAAGCAATCAGACATGGCCGTAGTAGAGCGACTGGAAGGTGGCCTTAATGGTACAATGGTTATCTCAGTAAGAGCGAGGTCCAGGTTCGAGACCAGGCTGTGGGCCATGGTTTTGCCCATAGTTCGATATTCGTGTGATAAAGACGAGAGACCTAGAGAAGATGAGTCTAAAGGCATTCAAGCGGGGGGAAACTGACGACAAGCGATGCCTCAAAGTGGAACCGGGTGGTCGCAGCAGGGTACCACTGCAGCCCGCCTCTGAATGGCAGCCATTTCACAAAAACAAACTGGCATTCAATTGTAATGAAACCTAATCAAACCAGACCATGGAGAGAGAAGAGATGATAAGAGAGAAAGAGAGAAACTGAAGGATTGATGAGAGAGTCCAAATTCAGCAGCATACCCTCTATAGAGAAAAAGCGTGTAACAGGCTGATGCTAGCAAACCCTGCTAGTCCGTCTGTCAGCGCCATCCATATCGACCAAAACACTTGCACACATACGCTCACATGCGCCGAGCCCAACAGCAGTAACTAAGCCAAAACATTACAATCCTCTTAGAACATCGCATGGTGTGCCGGGTGGCAAGCGAGAATCCCACCGGAGATAGGCATCACTAACCGCGAGGCAGCGAAACCCTTGCCCGTACCACCCCCGCGCTCGCCATGTTATGGAAAGTCCAAAGATCGCCCGACGGAAAACTCCGATCGGTATCCGGCCGAAAAACAAATTCAAAGCGACGGGCGTTGGCGCCGACGCTCAGCCTCCTGTGAACCGTTTGAAGCGGGTGATTCGCAATTCCGCGGACCTCCGAGATGCTATGGAAGATCCTTACCGGTTATTGCTAGACAGAGGTTATAAGGGAAGGCTATATGTGAATCACAAGGGTAAATTCCGCTGAAGGAGTTCCATGCCGCCATATAGGCAACGGAATTCTATTCAGAGCAGCAAGCCTGGGCATCTGATGGAAATTCAAGGACAATTTTGAGAAAAAAAGAGGACAACCCATTAGGGGGTTTGGAAGGACGGGGACTGCTCGGACGGGGATATCTCAAACGGGGACAGCTGAGGTTCAAAAATTGGGTGACGGCCAAGAAGACCAGAAGGAGCAGGGATAGCTCAAGAGGTTCGTGGAGACAGCTCTGACCGGATTAGCATAGAAGGTTTGAGAGGACGGATGTAGCCAGACGAGCATAGTCAAGGTTGAAACGAGGGGGACAGCTTCGACCGGGGAGCTTAGGAGGTTTAAAAGGACGCGAGCCCACGACGTATGAAAGGATAGGGATAACCTAGGCGGTCTGAAAGGATAAAGACACCACAGGAGGGAAAAGTGAATTGTCTCTCTGCCGCAAGGTGGCTAAATTGAAAGGGGGAAGCAGTTGAAGACTCTTTGCGCAAACTGGGACTGCCATAGTGAAAATGAAGGATTTTGCCCAAGCTCAAGGGGGAAGAAAGCGAATGTTGAGAAAGCCGGGTTGAAACTCTGTAGCACCGCACAAGTCTTTGAATGCCCCTTCCAGCCCCACTGGTCGATCCTCATTTACTGGATGAAAATTTTCCTGTGAGGACTCAATGAATATACCACAACCGGCAAACTAAGGTAAGTCGAAACACAGGGAATCCCATGTATTACAGTCAGGGAAAGTACTTTTCTGGGAAACTTTACATCAGAGAATTCCAGCGACTTACAACACTGTAATACAACGCTGTAAAGAACTTGTAAACCACGACACACTCCCATGAGTACTGGGCTGAGACTGGTTTGTGACAGTGTGAGGGCAACGACGACCGTTTGAAAATCGATAGCGTCAATGAAAGAGTTATTGCGATGGCGAAGATTTTTGGTGCCTAACAAATAGCCGACAAGACTCAATTAGTGGAAGGCCATAAGAACGACTTTGGGAAGAACCTGCTTCCATAGACGAAACCACGGCAAATGAATTTGTCCATGAACAGCGATCCGTTGGTATCGTAACCATGACTGTGATCTCGTTCGTTTGTCAGCGATGACGAGTACTAGTACTTTGGCCTGCTGAGGTAGCGCGGAATCACTGAACTTCTTCCCTAACACGAAAATAACTAGCCGTATCACTAGGGTGATTCAGTGGGAACTGAAAGAGTGAATTGAAGCAGTGATGACTGCGATGGTGAGAGATTTGATCAGTATCGACCTTTCAGCTATCGATATCACCGTGGGTGGCGTGAGAGGTGTAGCCGGCACGACCGCAATGGGAGATGACCTTTCTTTTAAAGATATGATTTACGAAACGCAGAATATAGTTCGGCATAACGGAAGAAAGGTTCATAAAATGGGGGCACGAGTTAGTCCCAGTGAACCCATCTTATCGCCACTAAATCAAAGGGGAAGTTTCAGCCCTTTTGTCGGGGTTTGCTCAAAGGCTATTTTTGAATGGCAGAATGTGGTTAGCGGGATGAAGAAACCGAGAAGAACTGTCGGAAACGCCCGTAGGAACAGAAAGCCTTTTTCGGTAGCTGATTTTGATTAAAAAAGCTCGAGGAAGGAAATAATGAGCGGTTAGGAGAGAGACCAGATGACAAGAGGATTAGGGAGTAGGAGCGATGAGCGAGATGATAGAGACAGCACACTCTGCATTTGCGATCATTTAGAGGCGGTGACCAACCACGTGGAGGTTTTCGGGCCCACGACTTGAGTCACCAGCCTTTCACCTTTATCGAGAGATGGGGACAACTTCAATCTATGCTGAAAGTACCCCTGATTCAGTCATGAGATGACCAGTCTACCGTACAAGCTGGGGTGGAGGCTGTTCCACAGATTGAGATCGTAGATGTATCTAGATGATGGCGCTAAGGAAGCGTGAATCATAGGCGATAGTGACAAGAAATTTTTGACAAAG